GGTCAGCGAAACGATAAGTGAAAAAGATGGCTCATTAATTCACTCGCAAAAACGTCGACTGGAGAGATGGGCCGAACACTTCGAAGAGCAGTTCTGCTGGCCTCCTGCAACACAGCCGGTGGAGATAATGCGTATGGGCGAATGGAATGCAAGTCTTGATCGCCCTTCAGAAGAAGAAATAGGATACGAAATAGCCTTACTGAAACGTGAGAAGGCACCAGGACCGGACGGTCTGTATCGGTGCTACAAAGCGACTCCACGAATTCCGTAATAAATCTGACACTTTTCAAGAGACGCAAAGCGGATTTACGAGAAAACATACTATTCGCATACTTCCCCCATCAGTAGTATCACCGTTACATTCTTTCGTTCCTGCTGCTCACCCGCTACAAGTAATACTACCGTATATTCCAACCTCCCCGCACTACAACAAACCAATATTTCTCCCGATGAGAGCATACGGCGAGGAATGCCTATTGTGGACCATGCTTTTGAAGGGCCCTTCTTCGTAAAGGCAAATATACTACTAGCTTATCCAGTAAATCAAGTTATCTCGAAGCCGTGAGGAAAGACACCGTTTAACGCATGCACGATTTCGTGCAAGACGGCTGATATCTGACGCAATTATGCAAAAGAAGAGTTTTCGAAGAAAAACTTTATCAACCCAAAACTGGACTAGTAGTAAACCAGCAGCTAACTCATTCTAGCACAAACCAACTATGTTGTTGGAACAGTAGTTGCGTCGTCACTCGATGACCAGCTCTGTCAGTTTTTCGCGAACGATTCTGCAACATCACATCAGAGCAAGAGTTCCCAGTATCTAGGACGTTTTACTAGTACCAGTGCTGTTTGTTCGCCGCAATGGCCGTCCCCACACCCAATTGGACCCGATTTCTGCTTCTGTTCTATTCCAAGTACTCCATATATAAGAGTGCCGGGTCATTCCATCAAGTTCGTCAATCTGTCCAATTGTCTCCAGGGGCATCATTTATGTCCAAACAGAATTACCGGTTTTGAACTGTCAGTAGTGTGGACACTGCTAATCCAAGTAGTGAAGTGTCCGACTTTTTTCATACGCATACACATTTCCCGCATTTCTTTGACCTTGATACGTGTTAAATGACAACCAAGCCTTCCTCATTGCGTGTCTTCATTCAGTCGATTTTGATACATTTGCCGTGTTGTTAAAACGGATGGATGTCCTAATACATACAGTCCTAAGCACTTTTTCCAAGGCATTGTTATAGTCTGGCTCTAATACGGTTTAATTACCTTACATAATTCGCAGACAGCAAGCCAAACGTTCAGAAAAACTAAACGTTACCGTATTGAAAAATCATGATTAAGTCATGTGAAGGACAGACTACGTGCTTCGAAGAAAAGTCAGTGCACACTGACGAGAGGGAATCAACAACTGGAATATATCTCATCTCACTTTAGGAGAACTTTTCGAAGCTCTTCCACGGAAGAACAATCACAAACCGCACCACTACACTCCCTAACAACGCATTGATGATGTTACCTTGATTGGTGATGAAACGTTTGCGATCAAATTGCTCAGCTCAGCGAACAAATTAGCGACCTTTCCGAAACTGTTTAGTTTTTGCATCGACTGAACTTCACTGCATGGGCTTGCCTTGGCCCTTAGAATTTCGTACCACTGAGAATTGGGACAAGCTTCTACCTTCCGCAATCAGACAAAGCCCGATCAGTTCGTACCCTTCGTATACTAACCGTTTCAGAAGCGTTTATAGACACAATTGATGTACTTGGATGCACGTGATTTCATCATCACCATCACTGTCGACCGTAAGAACCGCGCACTTGTCGTACAGTGGTTGTAGCTGACACCATTTCGTTCACCGATGATTTGGGGAGGAGGGTAGATAACTGCGCATTGAAGGCGAGCTGATAAATTCGTGCGTAAATCCAGCACTGTCATTGGACTGTCAAGTGGAGGAATTAGGAAGGAAGCTACGCAGTGAGAGCAGTAGCTTGGATGCAAGAGCACCATGAGGGCGCGACAGGGCTTGTCTGGCAATGTCTCCAACTCCTGATGTGGCCCGTCTCGGGGTCCCCATCCAGGAAGACGGCAGTGACAAGCGCAGCTGAGTTTGCTGGTAATTGCTTCCATACTTCGCTGCCAAGTCATTGTTTGACCGCCTCTGGCTCTCTTCCACCCTTCACGTGGTTGTGCGAAAAGATCCCTTCGAGGAATTCGGTCGATCGGTGTACGCAGCATGTGGCCAAGCCAGGGTGATTAGTTCATCTATCGAAAGTAACTTATCTCTTCCGAATACTATTCGACGTACTTCAGCATCGCTTATCCGATGTTCCCACCAGACCGGAAAATGCTCCGAAGACAGCAATGGTCAAACACTGAAAGTCTTTTGACGTCCTCAGCGAGCAACAGCCAGGTTTCTGATCCCGTATAGTATATGGAGTGCACCGCAGCACTGTAAACTCGACTCTGGACGGACAAGTTGATGCCACGCCCAAGCCATAGATGACGCCGGTTCACAAAAGATGTTCTGACCTTTCAAATCCGGATGGAAATATCATCCTTCGCCAGACCACAGCTTCCGAGGTAAATAAATTTGTCTACTACCTGAATCGGCTCATCCGCAAGCATGAGGCTAGGGTTCGAGCCCACCCAGTCCTGTAGTAGCACTATACATTTTGCAGGTGTGAGGCGAGTGCCAAACCATGAGGCCGAATTAATGAGATTATTTAATATTGTTTGAAGTACCGCGGGGTCAGATCCAAGAAGAGCATCATCATCATCATTGTCAGCTGTAAGAACCGCGTACTGGTCGTACACTGGTTGTAGCTGCCAAGAAGAGCTGTCGTCTGCGTACTCGATATCTGTGAGCGGAGGCCCAGGGAGCACTTCGACCCCACAGGCATTAGAGGCTGATAGTGAGTCTTTCATGATCGTATCAATGACGAATTTGAAAAGGAAAGGTGAAAGAGGACAGCCCTGTCGGACAACACTTGATATGGTGAACTCCGGCGATAGCTTCCCGTAGACTTTCATACGGCCGCGGGGGGTGGGGCCGCCGCGCGCGCGGGGGGAATTTAGAACCAATACCTTCAGAGTGTGGTCACACAAAATGTCGTAAATCTCAAACGCTGGACGTGCTCGCAAAGTGCTTCGAACAATCAAAGTGTGGATGGAATTTAACCCTCAAGCTTTTCTTTGTTCTGTGTGCCAGAAGTCACTTTATTCCTTGGCTACTATACGAGCCAGCACCCGTTTGATCACATCAGACCAAACGGAAATCAGTCCAAATTCAATGTTCTTTCACCTTAAGCTATTGATTCGAAGACTAGTTGATTAACCAGATGCCTAAGCAGCGTTCGCCGGCTACTGACACTTCTGGTGCCGACATGACATCAGCTTGACTGTCAAAGGTTCTGCACGATGCCCCAGTTCGATCTGTACTACTTAATGGATCACAGACATGGCCGCTGCGTGCAGAGGTCAGAGACTCACTGTGTTTGACCATAGGTGCCTGCGAAGCGTTGGGTGGGTCTGGTGGGAACGTTAGATCAGTGATGCTGCAGTACGCCAGATGGTTTTCGGGGAAGTTCACTTTCTTTTGACAGATGAGCTGATCAGGCCACGCACTTCGCATGTCAGATGACTGTTTACCTCGTACAGCCCTCTTCGCCTGGGCTTGTATAGGATGGGTACGACTGACAGGCAATCAGTCCACGACTTGGCAACGAAGCGATCAGCTCATCGGGTTGGTAAGTGCCGTCTCGCGGGATGGGGCCCGCGAGACGTGCAACGCAACCAAAGCTGTCGCCTTCACTCCGTAGCTCTCACCTCCTAGCACACCGGACAAATAGATCTGCTTGTAGCCAGCGCACAAGCAGATCCAACGTGTGGTTCTAATTCCCTCATTCTCCCTATCCTCGGTGAACAATACTGTAGAAGCCGGAAATACTGCACTTCGGTGCACGGCTTAAGCTGTCTTCATCGAATGACAGCTCCTTATGGATTAGCATACACATCGACCTGTAATGCATGCGAATTGACTACAAATTGAGCTATTCGTTTCTGAGTGTAGATAAAAGGGTACATTAAATGGTTGATTAGTTGTTCAGTGATCTGAAGTCAAACAACTTCAAGGTGAATTAGGAAAGCCGACCTAACTGATGTTGCACACACTGGCATCCAACTACCTAACTCACTAAACAACACCACAACGCGTGTGTGATTAGATTTTCAGGGATACGGAAAGGCGACCTAGATCATCTACGTAGTCGCGAATATGAACAAGCACATCACTCGCTTAGCATAAATCGATAACAGAGAAAACAGGGCGTATCTCCATCTACTCTTCCGGCATACGAAATGAAATTCAAAGTCAAGTTCAATACAACCGACTCGGTATATGCACTGGCTGACAGTTTGTCTGGAGGCTGGTTACGTACTTTTAAATCATAAATGGGAACCGACTGAATGGAACTTTCAGACACTTCACTTTCAATGGACCTCTTCCATTTGCTTTTTTCGACCAGATACACCGCGGTGTTAAATTATGGAGCTAAAAGTATGTATCTGTCGTGTTTTGATCGATGGTCTCACAACAGATGAATCCAAAATTTCGTGTCGTACTACTTTTCTAAACATGTTCACTCGATGCCATGTCTTACCAAGGCGCCTGTGATGCGGTGTAGAGCGAGATCCATCCATCTGCAGTGCATACCGTGAAAGCCACGTTCTAGCCCATTCTGACTTCGGTCGGGCAACTAGATACCTCAACTAGTTTCGCTGATGGATTGAGTTGATGAGGCCTGAAATATTCTGAAATCTCCAAAGGAATATCTGACCCAAAGGAACTAACAACCTAATGATGGACCGCCCAGATGCTGCATTTTTTGGCGAGTGGTGCAGGTTACAAACGCTAGGCCAGACGATCGGACCTATTTGGATTCACGTACTGTTAAGGGAAATATCAAGTAGCAGTGTGAACCAAGACAGAGCGACCAACCAACAACTTGTGCACTTGCCAACGGAGAGTGGAGGATACGCAAAATACTGCCTATATCATACTAGCGCGATCCAATACAGACGGACTAAGGTTAGTTTTTCATTACTGCACCAGTGACACCAACCGTCTCCGGGTGAGAGTCGACAGATGATATATCGGGGCCAAAAATAGTCAGAACTTCTTGGGAGTAGGGTCGATGCAGACATTTGGAGATCCAGGAAATTTATCTTGTTCTACAGTGTTCATTGTCCTGAATAGACGTTTTATTAGAAATCATCATCATCATCGTCAGCTGTAATAACCGCGTACTCGTCGTACTGTGGTTGTAGCTGCCGCAGTTTCGTTCCCCGATGTTTTTTTTTTGAAGGGGGGGGGGGTAGGTACAGTGGGCTGTCAAGTGGAAGGGGGGTGGAAAAGGAGCTATGCATTGAAGGCAATAGCTTGGATGCCCGAGCGCCATTGAGGGCGCGACTGGGCCATATCTGACAATGTCTCTAGCCATTGATGTGGCCCGTCTCGGGGTCCCCATCAAGGAAGACGGCAGTGACCAGCGCACCTGAGTTTGCCGGTAATTGCTTTCATACTTCGCTGCCAAGTCATTGTTTGACCGCCTCTGGCTCTCTTCCCCCCTTCACGTGGTTGTGCGAAAAGAGCTCTTCGAGGAAGTCGGTCGACTGGCATACGCAGCACGTGGCCAAGCCAGCGCAACCTGTGCAGTGTGATCAGTTCATCTATCGAGGGTGAGTTATTTCTCCCGAATACCATTCGACGTACTTCAGAATTGCTGATCCGGTGTTCCCACCAGATTCAGGCAATGCTCCGAAGACATCGATGGTCAAACACTGAAGGTCTTTTGACGTCCTCGGCGTCAAAAGAAATAGCGGTGCCGAATTTCCCCTTGAATTTGTTTTCTTGTTGGAGGTGGATGAGCTAGAATGAACATAAACGAAGCGGATGCATCTGCGGTACCTATGAGTACACTAGAATCCACGGTGTAATACCAAATGCCCAGAGCCAAAGCAGTTTAGACCTTCCAGCATCAGTTCAAGTCGCATGCCATCACCACTAAAAACGATCGGATTGTTACCGACGCTATCGATACCTTGATGTCAATAGCCTATTTAGAGAACGACTCCACCCCAGACCGCTGACCAAATGAGTTTCGAAATACGGCTATTCAATGATCCAAAGGACATCTTAGCAGTATAGACTGTCTCTTACCACAAAACTGTACAGTCGTGATTGACCTTGGATTGCTGAGTCCTTATTGGTGGTCTCGAAATGGCCGAACACAGAGTTTATTCGCCCCAAAAAAGACCGATTCCACAACTAAAAGATTCGGGCTTGCTGGCCTGGCGAATCAGGTATATCACCGGTCAACATGGTAGACGAGGCGAAAACAACCCGCGTATTAAAAACGATATGTATCCGAACAAATAGTTACCAATGTTCGACAGTTCGACATACAAAAAGCGCGGGACTGATGCAACTGAACAAACACGAGGCCAACGGAAAAATACGCTGAAATAGAAACTCCCGTTTTGTTTCGTTTTCTAATCCTCAATTTAAACGGATGGAAATAACATGGCATTTGAATCACAGATAGTAAAGGCGTATCACAGCACAAACAATGGTAAGAAACCGGTTACGACACACGGAACTCATGGATGTGTGACGGTCAAGATGATCGTGCTTTAAGGACGCAATGTTGTATATTTTATACGTGCGTCTACGAAAGATGGCTTGACTGTAGACCGACTCGAACGACAGACGATCCACAAGGAAGTTGCCAAAGCCAGTAGATCAGATGTAAGTAGCATCAGGAAAACGGCCGACCAGCCAAACGGGACCAAAATACCGGTAAGGAATGGGCCGAGAGCAGCACCTATAAGAAAACATTAGGAGATGCCGAGTAGTTCATACTATGTAGATCGGAAACATCTGTAATGTGACATGGGAGAGCGACCTCATGCAAAATCACTCACGACGGGAAGAGACCAGGGTACATCATAGTCTTATCCTGCAAGGGTCAGTAAAATTCATTCGAATCAAGCTCGTTTCACCTTGTGCGAGGATGCAGAAAATTGGTGCCCGCAGCAACTCAGTAGCCTAGAAATTGCTATTATGCTAGACCAGGCTGTTCAGCTGTAGCACCCTTTCGGTGCCTAACTGCCATGACACCCGAAGGAAGCACGAGGGCTGGGATACTGCCCAAGCCTAGACAGGGGAAGTCGAGTAGAGGAGGTCGGATTCGAACCGCGGACCTTCCGGTCAGTAAATTCGCGCTCTAACTACCTGGACCATCTCGCCCCTATGCTAGACCACAAACATATTGAATAAGTTGGCTTCTACAAAAGATGGAAATTTCATACAACTTTGACCGGCCTATCAGGATTGATGACCTGTGACCAGTGAACTTTATGAGATCCAGACAATGGTCTAGTCATTGTCTCACTATCGAGTCGTACAGCCAGTCTGCAGTGGACTCTTGCCATCCCCACCCGTGATGCACGGAGCCGAATAAGTGAACCAAAGATGGACCGTCTCAACTGTACCAGTGAGTTGATCGTTTCAACATTGGCAGTGGCGAAAAATTCACAATCGTATTAGCATCAGGTTGTTTCTTCAAGTACATCCCGATTGTCCATTAAAATAGCATTTGAAAGAGCATAATATCCAGTAAATACTGATCACTTCTCGAGTCTAGCCATTTCGGCATCAACCAGGTTCGAACTAGCGTCATCAACGGTGAAATGTACGTTACGCTACTGGCGTGGATTTTTTTGCTGAATCGTCATAGTGTCCTTGACTGCTCTCCGAATGTAGCAGCATTTGAAATACAAGGCACGCGGAAGCCAGTGAACCATACGAAAAATTTGCCAGCACTGAAAACCAAGTGCTCTTCGAAAGCCCTGTCCTCACTACTAATATTCTACCAGCGCGATATTTAGTAGTTGATTAAACAATTACCCAAAACTTAATTCTGGATTGACTGGATGTGCCTTGAACAACAATTACCAGTCTAGATTACATTTTCACGGCATCAGCAATGAATAACTTTCAAGGGGTAATTACGTTGACATATTTCTATGCAACTAACTTCAAACACAGTCGCAACACAGAGAGGTCAGTTTTCCGGTCAAAGATGTCACTTTTCAATCAATAGAACTGATCTCAGCGCATTGTTTTGCTAATGTTCTTGTGGCAAAATCACTCAACCGATTGGTTTCGCGGAATGATTGTACCATAGTTGCTTGAGCATAATAAAAGCTCATGAACTGTGGTCAATCCACCCTGTCTATGGGTCAAATCCGGATAAATTTCAACAAGTCCACACGGACTTCACTCCAATGAACTCGAAAATCACTCTCCAGTTGTGCCCGACCAGGTCGTTCAGCGTTTGTGATGGAACTACTTGTTCAAACTACTGTTTTGTGTACTAACCTCGACGAGCAGTCCTGTGCTCTTACTGTGTTTCTGCTGTCAAGGCCAACGACGATGTACTAAAGTCATGACAAAAAACAAAGCGTTTCTTGTACCACTGTGTTCTTTCAAACACAGATGAACGGAAACGAGGACGTGGTTTGATTCGATCCTGGGTTAAATACGCTGGTTAGCGCCATACCAACCAACCAACCCGATAGGCTGATATGACTGAGTCGTTTGCGTGTCGAGATCATGAGTGAAATTTTCAAAGATCCTAATACTGTTCACAAACTATGAATAGCTCATGGGGCAGAATAATTCAGTGGAAGAGTAAATCTTCCATTTGAGGAACCAGACAACACACGCGAGGGGAATTCCGTGACTGAGGGGTAAGTGGCGCCAAGTCTTGTCCAAGTGTGCTGCCAACCACGGTTGTTCGTGGTTGAAGGGTTTGGTCCTGAGATGCGCATTGTTGATGAATCTCAGTAGAGATGAAACAGCTGTATAGTGCTTCTCGGATTTTTAACTTCACTTACAGTAACAAACCTTTATTGATATGAATGGCATTTTAGAGAGAGAACATCATAGGAGGCAATGTCGTGATCGAAGAGGCCAATATCTATTATGCAAGAACTACGAACGTCAACCTTTTTTAACGCCACTGGGTGTGATGCCATCAATGGACCTAGACAGACTGCTGACGGAATCTTAGAAAAAAGTCCAGCCAATTTTAGGCAATCCATATTTGGGGTGGGCGCATCAGATATGTTTTGAATCGCTATATCGACAAGCACACCGACGAGCACGTCAAACGGTGCATGACGCAATCTGATAGGCGCAATAAATCCGACGGAGTATGTATGGCATGCACGAATATTAACAGAAAGCACATGTGGTCACAGAAAAAGTGGCTTCTTCAGGATGGAAGTTCAGTACCAGTTAGTGATTATTCATTAATAGGGGTACGCCTATTCATCACTGCAACATTGTGCACGAAACAGATGAATTGACGATTCGTAGTGAGTAAAGTGTCTTTGTATATTCCAGTATATGCAGCAGGCAGCCAACATGGCTCAGCAAATCTGTTGATCCAGGTTTATGATCCTTTAGGGCTAACTCATCAGAAGACGACGCTTCAAACCAGACAGACGGGTTGCTCCAGCCAACCAAGTGACGGAAGTGATGCCGATCCCAGACAATGGACCCACGTAAGGCCTCGAATAGAGGAATGTTCATCTTTAACGATTTACCTACTAAAGACATACTGAAAGAATCCGAATGAAGGCACTGTTCTCAAATACTGTGATACAGCGGCCGCACCAATTGCTGACTTCTTAAGTGACGAATTATCACCATGCTTAATTTCATAATCACAGACAGTTTCAAATTCGTCGCACGAATTTTATCGTGTTCGGGATGGCTCAGTAGACAAGGCGAGGATTTGCTGATTGCAAGGCCCGTGACAATATGGTGTCTTCGGTCTCTGGTACGCGAATGGGCGCAATACAGCGGTAGCCGATCACACGAAACCGACAATTAGCGCCCCAGCATTTTGGCTAACCAACAACCCGAGATCAAATCGAACAAGAAGAACTGAACGTTTGGATGACAATCCGACACTTGGTCAATTTGAAATACTCCAAACCTAGTTGCTAGCGTCTCAGTGGCTTTCCAGGGCGGCGGTTGTACGACAAACCGCGGTTGCTTCCAGTTTTCCAAAAGCAATGCTTTCTGAATACTTTCAATGACACTGGGGTAGGTAGACCTTGTTTTCGGTGGTTTGTCACACTGTATCAAGACAAAGGGCGAACACGCCACTGCTACATGTTGATCTTGGTAAAGTGCGGATTCAGAGTATCTCTATTCACGTGCAGCTCACACTATGGTTCGGCCTAAAAGCGCCCTATATGGTTCACCACTCCAAACCCCTAAGAACTAGTAAAGCATGTTTTGACTCCGTCACGTCGTACAGTCTCCACGACCAGCTTCAGGACGTTGGTCTGCTCCGGTTAGTGATTTCACGTATGAGCGACAAAAGTTTGAGCATAAAGTTCAACTGCATGGTCATCCCAAAAACTCTATGTACGGACCAACAACCAGAGAGTTTACAAGTATTGTCCTGCATTCTTACGGGTTACATGCTTTGAAGAACAGAAGGAACACCTTCAACAAACATTCAAGCGAACCGGAGACTAGTTGTGATAATATGCATGGGAGAAGCATGAAGAATGCCGTTCTCGGGCGGCCAACTATGCAACATACCAGCATGGGAGAAGCATGAAGAGTGCCGTTCTCGGGCGGCCAACTATGCAACAGAGCGATTACGCGCAAATACCACAAGAGGAACGTGATTCACACGGTGCAACCCTCGTATACGCCACCTGTTGCACGAGGGGGCAGGTCTTATTCCGGGCAATCAATCAAACACCAGTCACCCGAAAGCGACCAACCTAGTGATCCGGTTCCATCGATGATAGCCGTTATGGTAGCCAGGGCACGAGCTCGTCCTTGCAGGGCATGTTGCGTTCCCAGATCGGCCGAAACGGCGGTGGTGATCAGAGCGTAAGGTCCGTTCACAGTGAGTCCACAACAGAACAGCAGCACTGTAAGTTCAGAAAAACCATGGTATTAACTCTTTGGTAGGTGACAGATTTACGCTGGTTCCAATGAGGCGTCTGATGGCTACTTACCAAGGGAAGTCGTGGAGACAGCCGAAGCCAAGGCTTGGTAAGCAATCAGCTGGGAATGGAACGTAAAAAAGGTAGAGAACAGCAAGATAAGATACCAGAAGCCACACCCTAAAGATCGACCACCCACCTAAGAGATACCAATACATGCTCTGTGCAACACAAATGTACCAGAAATGACTAATGGAAGCTGATCCCATATACCACAGACTACTCCAGAATTTAAAACCACGAAAAAGGAGTAGCACGCGTAACTCAAGTTTTTAGGCTTGAGCAACCTGGCAGTATTTCAGCCCTTGTTCATCCTTCAGGTAGCACGAAAGAGTTTTACATACCCCTGTTGTGTGGACATGCGGTTGTAGGCTGAGTAGAATAAGCCCTTGGTCTACTGCGAAGTCGAATTGAGGGGATCAGCATATACGAACCAGATGGGCAAGTGGACTGTATTGTTATACATGAACTTATAGCAATTATTACTGGCCTGTGAGTAATGTTTGCAATACTTTGGTTGCATGATACTTGGTGCCTTGACCTTAGATCCTCTGCAAACTAATGAGGGATGATATGGTAAGACACAAGACTCACCAGCGGAGCAGCAAGACTCAACATGACGGAACACATGAACGCACGTCGCCATATTGTCATTGCATCAGAATCAGACTCCTGTCAAATAGGAAAGAAGGTTCGAATAGGCGCTGTTTTTTGTAGGAAAAAAATGACACACTACTCGAATACAGCAGCTAACTACGACATTCTCAGGTGAGCTGAATGCCAGTTTGTTGAGTTCCAATTTCGCACAAAAGCCATGGGACCGATCGGTTAAAGCCGCTTCAACGACAGCGTTTTGACTGATCCAATTAAATGAGTAGCTACCAGATCAACTTATCAAAATCTGCTGAAGTCTCTCTCGGTCAGACACAGAGTAACAGCTGATAAGCGCAGTGGGAGTGTGAACGTTGCGATAAAAAGACACTCCAACGAAAGATTCGGCAGACAGATTCGACAGACTTTACAAGGATACCAGCTCATTGTGTCAACAGACTTTACAAGGATACCAGCTCATTGTTCTGTTTTCGGTAGATGTTGAGTGTATGCAATTACTAGCCCTATAGCCAAAACAACTCTTCTCCAACCGAATAGACTGGATACATCGTAAACACAGTCGCACGGATGCATCGTATTGCTCAACGTACGTCAGACTTTCGTAGAAATGCCGCTGGTCTAGGTGCGTGTTGTATGCAGTATACACCAACTCACGAGGCTTTGCTGGGGCGGGGGTACGGGATGATGGTAAACAGTACCATCGTTATTTAGGTAAGTTCTATCTCCCAAACCTGTAAGAGCCTAGGGTTGTTGGCTACTTCAATCTCCTGGCTAGGATTACCGATATCCCTGGGTGTTCCAACAAAGTGTGCTTACCGAGAATCGTCTAGAGTAGTACGGACGATGTGGATTATCTGGATTCTATTCAAGCGTGAAACACGCTCGTCCCCCCAGATCATTTGACTTTGTTACCTTCAGTTCGGGCTGCAGACACGGACAATCATGGGCCCCATGAGAAAGGGGACAAGCCTTGCTGGAAGCAAGGCAGGTAGCATACCTGCCGAATTGTCCGTGTTAACACTTAAAATCCCGAAATGCAAAGCCTACAACGGTGCTAGAAGTAACTTTCTACGACCATCACGACACAACTTCGGATGACATCACAAGCGACGGACGACAAAATTAGGTTACGTACTTTCGGATCACTGAGCCATCCAGCCAAAATCCCACCCACGATGCCACCCAGGTCGAAAAGCACGGATAGTTGAGCGGCCTGTTCTGCAGTCACTGTACCTGGTTCAACAACGACCAAATAGTTCGGCAGCCAGTAGAGGAATGTGTAGGACACCAGTTTGGCGAAGAACAGAAGGAGCGAGTAGGCCAGAACGTTCTGAAACACAACACAAAGGAGTTATTCGACCAGCTTAGGGGTCTACTTTTCGGACGAGGCCACCAGTGACTCGGAAAACCGTATCGTTACTTGGAAAATATAACAGATAATCGTTCAGCTGTAACATCCTTTCGGTGCCTAACTGTCATGCCACCCGAAGGAAGAATGATGGCTGGGATACCGCCAGGTTGCCCAAGGCGAGAGGCAGAGATCGGGTTCGAACCACGGACCTTGCGGTCAGTAAATTCGCGCTGTAAACACTGAGCCATCCTGCCCCCTTGGAAAAACGTCTGAGAATTTACAAGACGCATCCAAGGACACCAAGTGACCGCCAACAGTATCGGAAGGGACAGCAACATCAGTGCTGACACTGATGCTTCACTGCCGCGAGTAATTATCGTACAACATCCACTGACCAAGACCGACGTTTTTCGTAGGTTGGTTGAGACTGATACAAGGTCATCCAAGAGAATTCTCAATGAAACTGCACGAAGGTCACACACCACTTACTGGGATTCGTAGGGCATCACATAAGCCAATAGCCTGTTTCGTTGTGGTTGTGCTATTCGATTGGCATGGAAGCTCCTCCAGCCGGTCCGAGCTCGGTCGCCTCGGTAAACAAGATGACTGTAGGGGTAGACGGGTAGTGTTTTCAGAGAATGGTAGAGAAAATTTGACGGTATGGCCTAGTTGAACGTAGAGACAGTGGAAAATAACGCTGGTCACTTATTCGGCGGACAACCCAGTAGCATCCCACACACCGACAGGCTCAATCACAAAAGTAAATCAAACATGTCGTGCCATCGCTAATGAACTAGTTTTGGCACACGGTGAACTAGGTCTGGGAGCCTAAGAATATCCAACCTAGCTACCTTTCTAAAGGCTTCCGCTCCGAGTCCGCGCAGTCTGTGGGCGTCAAATAGGACAGCGAGAGGATTTTACTGGCAATGAACAGTAGAGTAGTTTTATGGTACAGAGGTACAGAGGAGTGTGATAAGCTCCATCGAGAATGACTGGCTGTTGAATAAAAAAATGTCACGCCATTTCGAAGAATGGTAATTGATCAGGTGGCTGTTGATCTGTTCACCGAGCTTGGCAATTGATTTGCAAACATTTCGTCACCATCCGAAGAATGCCAATCTTCTGAAACTGAGTACGTGACCGTGTACAAGGGTGGGAGCTCACTCATTCACAATCGATAGCTCTCAAGTTGTCATGCTTATGACCCGGCACAACCAAAGGCGAAAACTATACTTAGGATGTTTGTGACAAGCTAGTACAAAGCCCGTTCCCTGCTCATATTTTTATCACAACTCGTCCGAGTAGCTCACCTTTTACCCGGTTTTATTTTTCTTATCAGAGGTCACCAGAAGTGCACACCCTCTTTTGTATCAGGATTTCAATCTCGCACATGAGATGAGCATGTTACTATCACACCGTGGTAGAATGAACACACCATCCATAAATGGACGCCCATCACCAATAAACCTTGACCAATGTGTGAGGTCTACTTAGTGCCATGAAAATTATCCAATGATGTCGCGTCACCCACTGAGTTGCCTAACCGTGAAATCCTGGCAAGCGGGTCATTGATCCATTACTGAGTTGTGACTCGAGGCGTCCAACAAAAAGTGTATGCCCATCTAACCGCGCAGAAATGATGTCTTGTCGAATGATGGCGAAACATTTGCAAGTCAACTACCAAGTTCGGCGAACAGAGCAAAAGCCATTTGATCAACTACCAAAATGCTCACATTAGTCAGGCGCAAACAACGTGTGCAACAAGTGTTCAGACATGATTATCCAATTGCATCTAGTGGAGTACCGGAGGCACACAGGCTTGGCGACTCCAATCCACACTGTGACCAACAATGTGCACGAATAATGTGCTTTAATGAGAGGAAAACTGTGTTGTTCGGGGTTGGAGTGGACTAACCAGAACAGTCGACCAATACACTCATTTGCATATCAATTTGGTTTTCAAGGGAGACTTAACTGAATGCCTCGTTTATGATATTCCTCAACTGAAAGTGCTGCACAAAGATCGCTTCATGTTTCAGTTCATACGATATTCGAGATATAGCAGTACATTTTCATAAGAGGAACCTACGCACAAGGTTGCTGAAAACGCTTCGACGGCCCATGACCAGTTTTGTCCTTCTTGGGGCTCATCAGGTAAGCGCAGTCCCCGAGTTTCCGTAAAACCTATGTTCTACATCAATCCATATTGGACAGAGTTAGACAAGTGCACTCATTTTCATATTAATTTATTGCATTTGTCAAGATCTACCCAAATCGGGTCCAATTAGAACATAAGGTTGGTGGAAACTTGGGGACTCCGCCTACCTGATGAGCCCCAAGAAGAGCGAAATCGGCCGTGGGCTGTCAAAGAGGAATACTGTTCTATTCAGACTGATCAGTTTGAATCGAAACCAATCTAATTGGATGAGAGAGGTGCATAGCTGGAAAACATCAACACTTCTGTCCCTGTCACCAGTAATTTTAATGCAGATATGGCCGTTTAGATTAGACCTCAACCCATTCCATCTCTCGCATCAGATGGCCTGCGATGACCAAAAATCTGGTATTTCATATCTGGAAGTAGTGGAAGCAATTGAACTTTCGCAATCGCTGACTAACCTTTGCTCTAATGAAGTTAGAAGGGTTAGTTGTGGGCATAAATAATTGGTCAGATGAAACACCACATCTGACAGCGGTGCATCCTGATTGGTTGGACAGATGATCAGTCAAGTGGTCTAGTTTGGTGCTCATGGCTGGGATTATCCCAATAGACTAGAAAGTCTTCTACGGAAGAATAGAAACTTCGAAGGTTACTTGTACTCCTTACCTCAACCGCTGATTTTAGGTTCGGCAAACTCAAGTGAGGAGGCCTGGTAAAACGTCCGGGAAGCTGAAGTCGTTCGGGTCGGTCTATCAGGGTGCAGTAAACCACCAGACCGCCGACTGCCATCATGATACCCGGTACTGCGAATGCTGCACCCCAGTCGGAATCCGCAAAGTAACCGGCAACCAAAGAGCCCAAAATATTGCCCACACTCGTGTGTGCATTCCATAGGCCCATGATGAAACCTCTCCTGTAGAGTAGAAGGAAAATTAAACGGGTACTGCAGAATGAAGCCGATGTGATTGATTTTGCTTCAGACCTTGGACAGATGAGTTAGAGGCAGTTAATTTGCAAAATAATTGCGTGACACCAATTAAATCAAGTGTAGGCTTGGTTTGATAGGACACGATGGGCAGCGGAAACACTTTAGTTAAGACCTTGGAAACGGCGCTTCATGAATCCTCAGAAAATGACGCAGTGTATCTAACTCATGGCTGTTTCGTCTGGTATGTGTGTTAATTGATTCCAGCTGCCACAACTGCCTCTACCGACCAGTAGGGATAATAAGACGGGAGCAAAAAGTGCGGACACTGGCCTGGGAAATTTCGCGACGCTTAAATTCCCATAATTTCCTGATGAATGGGGATTTGAATAGTGTCGGGCATGTGTACACAAACTCGCTAATGCTATAGTGGCGCATATCAGAACACCAAAGTTGCTTGGTATGCTGGACAAAGGAAGAACGGTACAACTGATTTTGTGCGAAAAGTGAACAAACTCTGTGCAAAGCAATACTAAAGATCTCGTTGGAAAGGTGACATACCTATTTAGACAAATCAGGGGACATTAGTGTCCCGCGGTAGCCAGCCTTCTCGATAAACGTGTCTGGTTTTGGACAACAAACCACGTACTGATAACAGACGCAAGATCGCCATCAATACTGGGATACGTCTGTCGTTATTCCCCATCTTACGACTCCGGTTACTCCCCTAACCGAGTTTTTGTCTACTATGGAAACTGTAATATTATTGTGAGCAACAAAGTATGGACAGTTGAACCGAGGTCTGTCCGTTGATTTCACGATTCAAGCATATTAAACATAGCAGTTCATACCTAACGTCTGACTTCAAGATATACTGGTCTATTCATGAGGCATGTCTAGTCAAACAAAAAAGCGTCTATGAGTAGTGTAAGGAGATTTGGGAGTTCCCAACGGAGGTTTCGTCCTGTAAATGAAATCAATCTGTCCTGACAAGCCAAGAAGCACTGTACAGCTGGTTCATCCTTGTTTGGATTAACCAGCAGTGCAAATCCCACAAAACCCTAGGGAGTTTCGAACTACCGACCTTCTGACTGATAGTCTACACACTTTACCGTTTATCCACGAGCGGCTAACGACCGGTGATTAAATCAGACAGGTAGGATATAGCGCCGTCATCGTCCAAACACAGTCCCCATCACATGACCATATGCTGACTGAAAATTTCCAAATTCCCTCACACTACCAACGAAAAGTAAGTCGTTCAAAAGAAGGAATTCACAAAATGAGTGAGCCTTCCATCTGGGAAGTCATCAATCAAGGGACCAGGCAACAGGCGACCACGTCATATGGACTATAGGATTGAATGATGAGCGGTGCTATATCGTGTCTTGGTGCGAGTAAATCCCACTGCCGACCAGCCGCTCGTCTCTGAACGACTCAAAACTAACTGGGAGGTCGCGGTTCAAAACTCTCTAGTTCCGTGAGATGCGCACTGATGATGATTCCGAAACGGGATAAAACAGCTGTACATTGTTTCTCACCTTTTCAGCATACATTTGTTCCATTTACAGGATGAAATCTCCACTGAAAAAAATGTTTTCTGCGCGCAAAGCAGTGCATGGAGTTCATTCAATTGGAAAAAAGGTATGATGAAGGACCTAACTTCCAAGTGAATCTATCGTTCGCCTGTTGTTCTTGACCGGCGATCCTGCAAAATAGGGTTTAGAGACGGTGACGGACGTTCTCGTGCGATCAATTTAGCTAAATTGCCCCAGTAACCTGAGAGTGTATGGGGGGGAGTGAAGACCCGAAATCGTCCTCCTTACTTTTTCGTAACAGTGCTTTGGTTTGAATCACTGATATGTCGACGTTCAGGACCGTTGTTGTTTGTGAAACGCACCAAGCATAACGAATCTCAAAGATGGGTCAATAAACCCAAGGTATATATCTTAGGAGTCACCTCATTCCGGCACAGTGGGAACCGACAAACTCGGCAGCCTAATACAAGAACTCTGACGACAAGAAACCACATGCTGCCGAGGAATCTTGAATTTGTGTGAATCTAAAGGATAACTTTGGGCAAGCTGGCACATTCCGAAAGAGTGGAAATGAAACTGTCGGTATGCAGCAATCATACTAGGAAACCTCCACTCCAGATTCCGACGCAAACTGCAAGTTTTTGACAAGTGGAAAGATTACAAATCTATGAGTGCATGTGAATAGAATGCCCCTCAACAGGCAGGTTTGGTCAATCGATGGGGGAAATCATAGAATACGAATTTGTCACTTTGATCACCATCCATACACATAATGGGCAAATGTGACAGTAATGTCAAATCAATCGTTCAACTGTAGCACCTGGCGCCAGTGCCAACGAAAGGAGGCACGAGGATTGAGATCCTGCCATGTTGACGAAGTCTAGATGGAAGCAGTCGAGATGCTGAGGTTGGGTTCGAATCACGGACCTTCCAGTCAGTAAGCTGACGCCTTAAGCACTGAACTATCTCCATTAATGTGCTCGCTGCACGCCTGCTTAGGATGAAATTTATCTACCCAACTCAAGAAGATGAAATGAAACCTATCTGCGTCTTTATTTTATTTCAGGAAGCGAAGCGCGACAAACAAATCGTTCAGCTGTAACACCCTTCCGGTGCCTAGCTGCCACGCACGAGGGCTGAGATACTGCCAGATTGCCCAAGCCTAGACTGGGGAAGTCGAGAGGCAGAGGTCGGGTTCGAACCACGGACTTCCCGGGCAGTAAATTCACGCTCTAACCACTTGAGCCATCTCGCGAAACTCGGCTACACCGAAATTAATGGAAGAGTATTACGACAACACGGAATAACAGTAGCATAAAAACCTATCAGTGAACTACGGAAAACACTCTCAAGCCCGAAGGTAAGACCGGAATTTATGAAGAAAGCCAATGATACACACAAAATTCAATACAACGAGTACGATAAGCATTAGGCGGGACAAACCGGGAGGAGACTGTCTATCAAAAAACACGGATACCAGCTTGAAAGCAGAAGACACGATCAACCGCCACTAGTTTCTGTGCATAAAGAGGTGCAGCATATCGATTGGTGCAGACGATAGCTCAAGTGAGGACAGGAAAAAATCGTCTAACTGTAGCACCCTTTCGGTGCCCAACTGCCATGCCACCAGAAGGAAGTAAGAGGGCTAGGATACTGCCAGGTTGCTCAAGCCTAGACAGGGAAAGTCGAGAGGCAGAGGTCGGGTTCGAACCACGGACCTTCCGAACGGTAAATTGAGCCATCTCGCCCTCGAGAACAAGAACACGTCGCGCGTTTACGAAGGTTTGGTGACGCAGCGAAAAAGTGATCAACAAGCGTATTGATATGGATTCAATACATTAAGCAATACGGTCAGGAGAGTTGTAGAACCTCTGCAGACGAAACAACAACAGCTCAAGCCCAGGAACAGTAGGAGAATGAAAGAGACCAGAATCAGTGAACGCATCGGAACCGGTATCAACAAAAGGTACTGCAGTCATTAATCAGAACGCCACACATGGTTCGGGCAGACCGACAGAAATCCGTACTGAGTAAATCTAGAAATGAGCGAGAAAAGTCCGAGTCGCGCGGACGGAAAGATGGGCCTCGTCCAAAGAGATAGACGGATAACGAGTAGTAACGTGTGTCTAACAACATTGTTGAACACGTTAATTGTTTTTTCCACCTGCCTTCACCTTAAACTTCTTATTTTCCAGGTCAACACACCAGGCACATTCGAAAACAGATGCTAACCGTATGTGGTATCATCGTCATCACAATTGTGTCCGACAGCTGACACAGAACGTCACACACACAGTGTGTGTGACCAAAACGCAGGTCTGTGAACAGACAGACGTCTAGGTTAAAGTTTAAGACATAACTAAATCTAGGAACAAGACAAGATCGTGAACGAGTGTGTCCGACAATCATTGCAAGGAGCGTAAACATGGCAGTGTGCACAATCAAAAAGAACTCGGTTGTCTAGCCGAACAAGAAGAACACATCAATGACTGAGGTCGTGTGAGTAAACAAGCATCTGGAAATGTTGGCAGAGGTGAGAATTGCAAGGTGGAGGAAATAAAACCAACATTACACAGTGCCAGAACTCCTCCGTAAAACCAACATGGAGAGGTCCGGTGCCTCTGCTCTATGAAGCGAGCTTCTGGAACAATCAGCAGGCCAGTTTACTGTTGAAGACAACGGTGGAAAGTCAGGCTGTTTAGCTAACCACTGATTTGTTCGCTAAGCTGAACAGCTTAAATGCAAACGTTCTGCTGCTTTGAAAATTGACGTTTTTGGTTCCCTTGTTATGATCTGCATTCCACGCTTCCCATTGAGTCTTGGTTGTCGGTCTGCAGGTCAGATGACGAGAGCTAATTGCCAATGTTTTCTAATCGGTTTGCTTTGCAATCATTATCAATATTTAGAGCAGCAGTGCGATTGATGGTTACAGCTATGAAGACAAGAAAAACAGAGGACTGAGTGCACGAGCAAATAGGGGGCCTAGTAAGAATGCGCAATAGCAGGGTACTCACCAACAATTTGAATCGTGATGAGACCTACCAGTTTCCGGGTAGAAACCCCAGAACTCGACAGGTACGATTCACGTATCAGGGGAATAACTGCGAAGTTGTCCAAAGTTCCAGTCTAACTTTTCACCGCCAGCGTCCAAACTGAAGTGGTACACAAATGGTGCCCCTATTTCCTCTCTAGACTGTTGACAAGTAAAGCATTGTAGCAGCTGGAATCAAAGTAATGACCTCTACGAGGAAAGATCATCGGTGAGAAAATGACTCCTCCTAAAGTGTATCCTACTCTGAGGAGTAGGCTATCTAACGTCAGTGTAGCCGGCAGTAACAAACTGTAAACGGATTGCGGAAGCCTGTAAAATGTCCGGGGCTACCAGATTGGGTTTGTAAATGAGCCTAATTTCATATATCCCGTGACTTTTTCGTCCTTCGGGAACAGTTCCGGCGTTGCTGTTCGAACTCACTATGATATATTATAAGCCCACAAAAACCTGAGGTAATAACACTGCAAAAGACTGAATGAAGATTGATTCGCAGTATGGTTAGCTGGTGGGGCCTGGTCATCCAATCACAGACGATATGATGGGTCGGCTGGCAGCCGAGGGTAATGAAAGCCAGGTGTGAAACACAAGGACCTGGCCAGCTTGGGTGTGCTTCCTTCTTGCATCCGGGAACTCATTCTTGGCACCGTCAAAGGCAGAGGATTCCGTAAAAGTCACGGTTGTTTCTGGACCTGACTAGTAGCAAGTAAACGCAGGAAAGTCAAGATGAGCAAAGCCCGAAGACAACTTTGGAAAGGCCTGTGTTTATTCACAGACATTTCACTTGCACATCTACATCGGTGTCCAGTGAGTGCTACTGATTTTCTCAGCGAATCGATTGATTAGGGAGATTTTTGTTAGTAGAGCTAGTGTGACTCAGGTACCGGAACCAAACGGCATTCTTCAAATTTCTATTACGTACTCATATTACGATTCAGAAACGTTATAAAAGGTAAGACTTACGTAGAGGCGTCAGGTCACCCACTTCCGTGTAGGCCTAGGTTGCTCCAGCGAATTTCTGTTACACCATATGAGGCCTACTCGCAAACCGTTTCGGCTAAACAATGATAGAATCTTTTGGTGAAGCACCGTTGGGCGTTGTTTTCGAAGCCTAGTGAGTTGTGGTTTGCTTCAAATGTTTGTATCCAACAAAATCGTGGACGTGACCTACTAGTTAGAAGTTTATCAACGTTATCCATATCAAAATCCATAGTAAGTTGGACGTTTGCATAATATTTGACGGGAAACCGTATGCGGTGTTTTCAACTTGATTGAAAGCACGACGCAATGTTAGTTGTACTTTGGTTACCTTGTTTACAAGATCGAGACATCCTGCAATAACGTGGCTCAGATGTGTACTGCACAGGGAAGAAAGATACGCTGGTGCTTTGTGAGGCCCCCTGTTTTGATCACCAGAAAAGCGTGAAACCTCCATGAAGACGTGAGACTACAACGCCACTGCTTTTAGGGCACATCCGATAAGTTTAGAAGCTTTGTTCTTGAGACCTTTCGTGTCAGTTACCTGCTGACTACATTGCACTCACATGCAGGTGGTTGTGATTGTTTCCTAGGCGAGGAGAAATACAACAAACCAACTGACACTTCCTAATAGCTGGCAAACTATGATAGTCGGGACTTGTCAATGTGCTTTCAAACGGAACGACACACAACAAGTCCGTGGAGTAACTGACTTTTTCGGTTGTCATCGATGCTCCTGGTGTTTATAAGGATAAAGTAAATCAGTGTGGTGACGTCAGCAGCTTCCACAGTTAGTCACAGAATTGATTTGCAACACGAGGTCTGCAGCCTAACGCTATGGTTCAGTTGCAGAGGCACACAGCGGGGGTCACGGATGATGTCTTTGATTGCATGGGCAAGTTGGAAGGCGCTGACCGAAATAGCGGAGAACAACAGCCCACTCGCACACTGGTCAAGAGGGACAATTTAAGTAGCCACGTCCGGCTCGGTAGTATTTCTTAATGTTGCAAGGGTATCCAGTTAGTTGGTGTATAGGTGTATGCATTAGTTTGAGTACAAACAAATCATGATACCAAAGTAAAGGGAAAAACACTATTGAGCGTAGTTTCTACTTTTTTGTCATGATTCACAGTTATGGAGATGGGAGCACTCACACCACTGCCTTTTGCCCTCAACCATATAATTCAACGTCTTAAGCCACTGCAATCCGTCTACCCTAGACAAACCGGCCTGACGGAGGATAAGCCTGAGCTAATCGTTGCCACTACAAAATACCAGCCAAACCTAGATCGAGCGAACAAACCACTGGATGGTAATAATTGGGAGGCAGTATGTAAAGCGCGCCAAAACCATCTAAGCTGATGTGGTGAGTTCAACTCTTCAAAAAATAGAAAATACTATACCAAATAACCTGTCGTGGACTTCGTTATTGGAGACAGTGGTCATCAAAGAATGTCAGCTTAGAAACATCCAGAGATCACAATTACTTTGTCCTAGTAAAGTCAAATGGAAAGGAACAACTTGGTATCTAAACGGTTTGTATTTTCCGTCACCGGAACCAACAACTAATTGCGACCTCTATAAATCTGACAACGAGTTACTGCTTCTGACCAGCATCCCTGCAAACATTCCCGAATCCCATGATTTCAGCGGCTAGGACATAAATCAAATCGACTTCTTAAATAGGCTTTATTTGAGGACGGACGACCGATTGGGTAATCTTGTCCACCGACAAGAAATACATCATCAGTCTCCAAGACTCTGCGTAGCAGGACACGCAATGTAAAAATGAATTACAGCCCATCGGTGCGTAAGCCGGGGTTATGAACAAACACTGCAATCCATGGCGCACTCCGTTCAGGGCGCGTGACTATTCTGTTCCCATGTTACAGTGTCAACCGTAAACAGGAATCCAGTTGTGTAAAAGCGCCTCGGTTGTTAATCACTGATAAGACGACCCCTGGTCATCATGAACTTAGTCCTTCGGCATCTCCCGGTAAACTCGGATGGTAGCGTTCCATGGAAGAGAGGCAGATTGTTCAGTTTGGTTACTGGATGAGGATCTTGGATAGGCATCATCTAGGTGCGGCTTATTTCAGTGACCGGAATACCGAGTGTGAGGGCCGAACTAGCTAGCTGTTCTACAAGCGTGCAAGTACGTGCACTGAGCACCGATAACTTAGACGATATGGGGGAGTGAGAACCAACCGATAGTTAGTTAACATAAAAGAGCTGCCAACTGTCAGTCTTCATTCAGAGGGATTACAGTATGTCCACAGTATGTTCATATTAGATCAACAGCACCTAAATTATCAATGTTTAGGAAGGTGTAGTGCATTAAAACCGAGTTTCTATTAAAAAATCGTTCAGCTGTAACACCTTTTAGGTGCCTATTTGTGATGCCACCCGAAGGAAGGACTGAGAACCTGTCACGTTGCCCAAGACTAAGCAGGAGAAGTCGATATGTAGAGGCTGGTTCGAACCATTGACCTTCCGGCCAGTAATTTCGCGCTCTATCTCGACCTGGAATAGTTAAACTCTTGCGCTTCTTTCGAGTTCAACGATTTATTTCACTCCACTACAGACTAACCCAATATGACCAGAAGACCCAGGGGTATGATCCACTGATCAGAAAGTTCAGCTGCCAGACAACAGGATTCTCACCTAGTTTTCCCCCACCAGTTTCCCATTAGCGTGACTACCGCAGGCCATCCGGAAGCCTGCGTAACACCAGATAAGACCTAATGGAGAGAGATCTCAGTACTTTGCAATTACACCTTACCTGAACACAGAAGAAGTAAAGGTAGTTGTGTATTCCACAGTAATAGGCAAATCCAAATGCAATATTGGTCAAACCACTGAATAGCATTCCAAAAGCAAGAAAGTGACGTAAATTGATCCGCTCAGCCACATAGCCACTGCAAAGATTAACATTTACATGCTGGTGGCACTTCTCATTGTTATTACCTTATCACCATGGATACGGCATATACCAGAAGGTAGATATATTCCA